AAAATAAAAAATAATAAAAAAAAGAAGGGCTCTTAGTCCAATATGACAGTGACCTTAAAAGAAGAGGAAATTTGAACACTGAGACAGACACACATAGGAGGGAAGACCATGTGAAGAGACACAGGAAAATGGCAGTCACCTACAAGGTATGAAACGCCTGGGGCCACCAGAAGCTTGGAAAATGGCCTGGAACAGATTTATCACCAGTTCCTTCCTATGGAGCCTGGCTTTATCACCTTGACATCAGACTTCTGGCCTCCACAACTGTGAGAAAATAAATTTCTCACAAAATAATTTTGTTCTAAGCCACACAGTTTGTAAAAAATTGTTACAACTGCCTCAGCAAAATCCTGGTAGCAGGGCTAACAGGCTTATTAAATTTAAGATGCTTTGAAATATCCATTTATTTATTCATAAATGTGTTTTTGAAAGGAACAGATATGTGTGCGTATAAAAGGTGGTAAGATTGTGGGTAATTTTAATTATTATGCTTGTCTAAATTTTTTAAATATCATATCCTAAAGATGTCTGACTTTTGTAACACCAACATAAAGAAAAGTTATTTTAAAAATAGACGTGCATGGTACTTGCAAATTTGACTCTCAACTTTCGGGGGTCTCTTGATATGACAATACTTCTTCAATGAGAATTTTCTAAGCTCTGGGCAGACATACTCAGCTGCCAGATGGACATGTTTGTTTGAATGTTCCAAAATTACCTCAAGCTCAACATCCCCAAACTCTTGTTTTTCTTTAAAAACCTGTCCCTTCTTTCATATACATCATCTCCGAGAATGGCACTTTGATGCATCCAGTCACCAGACGTCAAGCGGTTCTTGATGTGACCTAATCCTTGCCTGCCACATAAATCAGCCAGCGCATGCTGCGGGTTCTGTTGTCCAGCAAGCTCTGTTACCACGTCCCCCCTTCTGCTCCCAGGGCCGCCATCTTTTCTCAGCCCTCGTGGCCTCTCATGCAGCTTCCTGGCTGCTCTTCCTTCCACCCAAGTGTCCTGCTTTAGCCAACCCCCGTCTCCTTCCATATGGGCGACAGTTATCTGCAAAAATGGAAATCTCAGTGGGTCATGCGTGCCCACTGACTACAGGGGACCAGCCAACATGGCGCGCATGACTTACACGCGCACCCTGCCCCCCTTTCTAGGCTCATCTCCAGCAGTTCCCCACAGGCACATCCTGCTCCAACTACAAAAAAAAAAGACTCTCCAAATAAACCATACTCTTGGAGGACTAGATATGTTTGTCTATGCTGTTTCCTCTCCAGAGAATGTTCTTCCCCCCTCACTCTGTGATATCGTGAGATCCAAGACTCGAAGGAGGCGCTCCATGAAAACTTACCTGGGCCTTCCGGTCTCGGTGATTTGATAACTATAGAGTTAAAACTAATAGCGTATAATTTTATTAGCGTTTATGACATTTCGTTGTACATTTTTTCCCGTGACTGTCTTTCCCAGAATAGAGTGACTTTTTGAGGAAGGAGACCCAGCCTTTCAAGTTCAGATAACCATAACTTAAATTATGATTTGCTCAAATTAGGCCCAACAGATGTTTGGGGAAGGAAGTGGGGGAGGCAGCAAAGCGGCAGACGGGCTGAGTTGAGTCTGACGCAGCTTAGATAGCAAGAAAGTGAAACTTTGAAAATTCAGATAAAAAACATAATCCCACAGAGATTATGTGAAATAGCTGTGAAACAGCCAGGCAAGACAAATGCACAGTTTCTGGAAAAACGGTGATCTGCTAAGAGGATTTTTTTTTTTTTTCAGAGAGAAAGGATGGCACAGAGGACAAATGGTGCCTTATCTGTGTGCTATTAATTCGTTCTCCAAATGACCGACGCCCTACACTGAACCCCACGGCAGGCATCGGCACCTGTAAAAACCACGGGACTGTCGATTAGGAACAGCAGGAGGTTTCCTACTCTGAGCACAGTATTGAGCTTTATCACGCGCATCCCCTAATCCTGAAAACCAGAAAAGGTGAGTTTCATTGTCCCCATTTTACAGATAAGGAAAATGAGGCCAAGAGAAGTTAAATAATGTCCCCAAATTCAAGCTGCTTGGCGATGGAATAGCTGGAATACAGACTCAGGTCTTCCTCCCTCAGAGCCAAGACTCATAAACAGTGCCAACTCCAGCATTTGCATATGGTTTAGGGGTGGCAGGCCACTTAAAACACGGGAAGCGATGGTTGGCAAGGAGATGCATCTTGAAGCTTTATTTCCATAGCAAGCACACTAATTTACTTTGAAACTAGTTTTTTAAATGACTGCTCAAAAAGTATAGTTAAATTAATGTCCCCTTCAAAGTAATGAGCCTTTCTGTTATGAAATTTTATTATATTTCTCTCACTCTATTAATTCTTTACCCTCATTTTCCAATGTTTGTCCCATCTCTATCTGATTTATGTAATGTCACTAACTGTAATGTACATATGTAAACTACCTGAGGGCTTTTTTTTTTTTCTGAGACAGAGCCTCAAGCTGTTGCCCTGGATAGAGTGCCGTGGCATCACATCTCGCAGCAACCTCAAACTCTTGGGCTTAGGCTCGGCGCCTGTGGCTCAAGTGGCTAAGGCGCCAGCCACAAACACCTAAGGTGGCAGGTTCAAATCAAGCCCGGGCCCGCCAAACAACAATGATGGCTGCAACCAAAAAATGGCCAGGCGTTGTGGTGGGCACCTGTAGTCCCAGCTACTTGGGAGGCTGAAGCAGGAGACTCGCTTGAGCCCAGGAGCTGGAGGTTGCTGTGAGCAGTGATGCCATGGCACTCTACCCAGGGTGACAGCTTGAGGCTCTGTCTCAAAAAAAAAAAAAAAAAAAACTCTTGGGCTTAAATGATTATCTTGCCTCAGCCTCCCAAGTACCTGGAACTACAGGCACCCGCCACAACACCAGGCTATTTTTGGGTTGTAGTTGTCATTGTTGTTTGGCAGGCCTGGGCTGGATTCAAACCCACCAGCTCCAGTATATGTGGCTGGCACCCTAGCCACTGAGCTACTGGTGCCAAGCCTACCTGAATTTTTTTTTTTAAATAGAACAGAGCACAAATTAATGGTAAATAATTATGTGGGAAACATTTAATTGTGATAGTAGCCTTAAAAGTTAATAAAACAATTAGACATAAGTTTTTTAACCTGTTTTTTAAAACTTTTTAAAAATGATAATTCCCAATGTTAACAAGAGGGAGATTAAATTATGCATAATACATATACATTGCTGGCGGCATGATGTATAAATTAGTACGATACTTAAGAAAAGCAATTTGGCATTATGCAAACAAAAATCACAAATATATTCAAACCATTTAAATTCCAGAAATCTCCCTGTAAGTTATCTGTAACCCTTTCTTCTAAAAGTGAGAATATTCATATCTAAAGTCAAAGAAAAATTATGTAAGGAAATATATTTATTATAGTGTTATATATAGTAGTAAAAAATATCAGAAGGAAACTCAATGTCCACTAGGAGAATGGTTAAGTAAACGGGGACAAACCCATGAAGGGAAATGTTTCACCGCATGATACTCATATCCTGATATTTTTTGAACTACATGAAGGAACTATTCAAAGACTTAAGTAAGTCAATTTTTAAAAATAAACAATTGTAGTACAGTATATACACAACTACATAAAAATATGTATACATTTAAAAAGGCAGAAAATCCTTTTAGAAATATGATTCTATGACTTTATATTGTTTATATTTTTAATTTTGGGTAACATGACTCTGATATTTATAATGTTTTAAATTATTTAAGATATTAGCATAAAAATTATTATGGAAAAATTCATGGGCTACACTAAGTGAAATTTGAGGTCCTAAACCTTGAATCTTTTCATTCTGTAAATACTTACAGGGAGGAAAATAAAGGCGGGAGACATTAAAGAAACCAATGTGGGCTCAGCACCCATGCTCAGTGGTTAAGGCACCAGCCACATGTACCGAGGCTGGTGGGTTCAAACCCGGCCAGGGCCTACTAAACAACAATGACAACAACAACAACAAAAATAGCCACGCATTGTGGCAGGTGCCTATAGTCCCAGCTACTTGGGAGGCTAAGGCCAGAGAATCTCTTGAGCTCAAGAGTTTAAGGTTGATAAGGGTGACAAGTGAGACTCTGTCTCCAAAAAGGAAAGAAAGAAAGAAAGAAAGAAGGAAAGAAGGAAGGAAGGAAGGAAGGAAGGAAGGAAGGAAGGAAGGAAAGAGAAAGAGAGAAATAAATCAGTGTGGCTGCAGAGAAAACTCTGGTTTTCTATGAGAAATAATAAATGTTTAAAAAAGAAGATCTATAACCAAAGGTAAATAAATGGAAACTATTCATCCAAAGAAGGTAAAAATTGCCATATCCCATCAAACACAGTCAAGTAAGTGTCATCTTACTAACAGTTCAAGAACATGATTGTAAAATGTTACTTAAGCTGCTAAAAATAAGATCTTTGAATGGAAAACAGAAACATTTTCACATTTCACAGAACAGAAAGAACTTCACATTTTTAATGTATTTCATTTTCATAACATTCTCATAAAGAATGTTATTAAAGAGCTATTTTGGGCCAGATGCAGTGGATCACACTTGTAATCATAGCACT